TACCTAGGACACCCGCGACCACCGCGATTAAACCCCTCTAAAACCCAAGACCGCCGGAGATGCACCCCAAAAACCCTACTAAAATCTTAAAACATCCAATGTGGCCACTACAGTAGCCACCCTTTAGCATAAAAGTCAGAAAAATGAGCAAGGAAAAGAAAGAAGTCTTACCAAAATAAAGAAGAGCATTGAGAACTCGTAAAAAAGACCATTGCAACAATGTAAGAGCAATGGCAAAGAAAAGCAGGAGGGTGGAAGAACTTTCAAAATGGCTGTTCTGAGTATTCGTCACCTTTTATAGTGATTTTTGCATGGAAGACAAAAAGGCGGAGTTCAATCTCGACCATCGACTCATAACTGATCCTAGCCCTTCATTCGTTGAGCAATTTCAGCCCTTGGATGTGGTCATGTGTCGACCATCCATGAGGTGCGACGAACTATCGGAAATGATAACTGTCGCTGCACGACGTCTCAACTTCACGCATGAACAGCTGTTATCCCCCACGTGCGACGAAACGTAACTGACAAAGGCTGTCGCATTTAATGCGACACGACCACACAAAAATTACATTTATACCCTGAATCTATGTATTCTAAGTTTTGACAGGTGGCATAGGTAATAATGTCCAAGTGTGAAGAACGTTATCTAGACATAAGGTCAGTTGTGGAAGCCCAATCGAGCATACACTCAAAGACTCACTATTGAAACCAAGCTTGGCGTCAGATTGAGCGATAGTCTTTGAAGCCCAAAACGAGCATCGAACACTAGGGGGCAGATGTTGTGTGTGGTTTTTCCACCAAGCTCGGGCCAATGCAAGGATATAGCTTGGCCCAAAATGACCTCGACGACTACGATTGATCAACCCAACATAAGCTCGTCGAGTCGTAGCTCAACCTAACACAAGCTAGTCGCGAACAATCTTAGAAATTAATCAATCAATCCCCAAATTACTTCAGATCCCAGATATCGCGGGAATGACTAGATCAATAGCTATTGTTGCACGATCATAATGCTCAATCACAAGGATGTCACTATTGTGATTCAAATAATTTGTAATCCCCTTAATTCTGCTCTTTCCTTTATGTAAATCTTGTATATAAACCCCTAAAACGATGAGGAGGGGGATACAAATTCTGGATTACAACTATATTGTAAGCTCGCACAACATATATACAAAACACAGTAGACGTAGGCAATTAACTTCGCCGAACCACTTTAAAAGTTCTCTTTGTCATTTACTTTCTGGCATTATCATTCACTCATCGCTGATTATCCATAATCACACCCACATCAGTTCCAATCCTGACAAGGCCGATCGGCAAAGATGGGTGTTTGCCCTGGCCCCATGGGGATCCAGCCCAACCTGACCCGAATGGGGCCGAGAATCCCTAGAAAATTCAGGGATAGGGCCGGGGATGGTCCTCAGAAAAATCCCCGCACCTGGGGACGAGCCGGGGGAGGGGATAGTGCAATCCCCAGCCCTACCCGTCCCCGTGGAGCCCCTTCCTGCCCTTTTTTTTTGAGAATTTTATGTTTTTTTTCGTTCCCTTTGCAAGATTGTATATAAACTTAGAGTTTAAACATGATTTTAAGTAATGTATCTAAAGTTATGATATTTACTTTTATAATACTTTCTAATATTTGTATTAAATTTATAGAAAAATAATTTAAACGAGGGAATCTAATAATTAAATATATGTATTATTACTTTGTGAATTTCACAAAGTAATAATACATGGCCCAAAAAAAAATTTGATTAGATTATTATAATTTACCAAACCAATATATTATGAGGTTTATGTTGCAATGGATGATTTGAGTATATTATAAGATTTATGTCGTAGCCTGAAAGATGTTTATATTTTATTGCTTTGAAATCCATAAGCATGTTCCAATTTTTGCCAAGAAATTGTTGTTATTCACCATATTCATATCAATTCTCAATGAAATTTTCTTTCAGGTATTTATTTTATGAATTTTAGTAGATGAGACTATTTCAGTGGAACATTATAATGCACCAGCAACATAAAACATCAGAATGTGGAATCTAAATTCCTCTATTTAATATTATATAGAAAAGGTGTCACTAACTTAGTAACAAATAAATTACTTTATAGTGGTAGTTATGCATTATTTTTAAATCTTAATTTAAATTTTACAAGAAATTGTTGATTTTATATTTTCTTACCTTAAATTCAGTCTTTTTAATGAATTAACTACTTAAATTAAGCAGTCAAATATAGTACCTACTAACGTGCTAGTTTCTCACAATTAAAATAATTAAAATAATTAAAATAATTTAATATCATTGTCGTGAGAACATGTGGAAAGTTTTGATCTACATGGGGCAAAAATCCCCGTTCGGAGGATAAATTCCACAGGGGGAAATTCCCCGCGAAGCCCCATTCATCAGGCCGGGCCGGTACGAGGATGGGAGTGATTCTATCCCCACGGGTCGGGGACGGTCATGAGAAAAATTTCCACCCACGGGGACGGTCATGGGAGTGGGTAACAGGGATGAGGAATGGGAATGGGAATGGGAATGGGATCCCCGCCCTGACCCGGCCCGCGCCCATCCCTATCGATCAGATCTCGCTGGTTGGTGCAGATTTCTGTATCAACAATTATATACTTCACTACTGACCATTGGAATCAAATTCAATTGAATGGATATAATAATAATAATAATAATAACATTATAAAGTAATACCAAAATGTGCTTCCACCTTTTCTAATTCTTTGTATTCTATGTATTTGTAGATGCGTGATTTTGACACCAACGACTCGCACGTGCAAAGTGTTAAGCTGTTCTTAGAAATTACACGTGATATGATTGATTCAAGAGCTAATTAATATAATCGAATGCAAAGATTGAATAATAAATGAGAAATAATTTTTAAAGTTGTTCGGATGCTTGAAGCAATTCCTACATCCACTTTTTCTTTTATATATGAGAGATTACAAGAGGTAGCTTATAGCAAACAACGAACAGAGGTACAATAATTGAGTATTCAAAAAGAATATCGAGTCAGTCTCTTTCTCGTAGGTTATCTTTGCTCTGAAAATAAAGATTACAATCAGAATGAGGGTTCAGGATCAAAATCTCGAAAATGAGAGGGAAGTCTTCTATTTATAGTTGAGGAATTCAAGGTAATGATTACAAATTTGCAAGTGGGTAGGTGTTGTACAAGTCCTTCCTTACCTCCCATTGGCTGATAACTTAGGAAATATCCTTAAATTATCTAAGGCTTGGATAAGTGTGCGGTCCTTAATCACTCATAGACAAAATCTGAATCTGATAAGTTGATGACAGCTGTATTCTTTCTATCTTGGGTCAACGTGATAGCACCCGAATGGTACAAAGCCTTCTTGAACTCTGATTGGTACTTGCTGATATAAGCTTATGTCAACCCTGGTTTTTTAGGCTTAACAATATTAATTTCACAAATATAATCTTGGATTTAGTTAATTAATTACGCCTTCTGACCATCATCCATATACATATGAACCAACCAAAGGCACGCACGTATTAATATATATAAATCACAAAACTACTAAATAAACAAAGACTGAGTTTAATTAATTAATTAAATTAAATTAAATTAATCTATTAAAAGTTATCATGAAGAATCAAACAAGAATGCATAAAGCAGCAGGTTCCTGAGGGTTTTGCAGTGTAGAAAAAATTCGAGAAGGAAGTGGTGAGGCATGAAACTATCTTTGGGTAACTGAATGGTTCAATGAGAACTTTTAAGTGTATTACTCAAGAGGTCATAAGTTTGAGTCTCTCATCGATTCTAGGGCCCTTGAAAAATAGTTGAGTTGCGTGTAAGCTGACCCAGACACTCCTGATAATTGAAAAAAAAAAAAAAAAAAAAAAAAGTGATGAGGCATGAAAGCAATTAAGTTTGAAATGTTCTAAAAGTCTAACATAAAGACATCCATTAAGTGACAGATGCCTAACATTAGTTTTTTTAAGCTGAGAAGAAACGTGGGGACCTGTTTGCCTTTGTCACTTTTGAGGTGTGATTTTTGTTTTTAGGCTATTGGATTCATCACACTCTGAGTATTAATTAGAATAATAACGCACAATTAATTATACTTAATCAGCTTTTATATATATATATATATATATGTCGTCAGGTCATTACTTTGGAGTCTTCTGCCTCAACTTGACCTTCTTTAATTTAAACCTTCTTCAATTAGCATGTTCAAATTAGCAATATTATCAATAATATATTTACATATAAAACAGTGCAAATTAATTAATAAGATGGTTAAATTATTAAGAAAATAAATTTTAATTAAATAATCTTGCTTTAGTTTAGTGTTGTATTAATAAATTTAGAGTAATCGACTTTTTCCCACCCAAGGTTTGCCTTAATAACACTTTTTCACCCAAAAAGTTTCAAAATACTTTCATACATAAAGTTTATATTCCATTAATACTCAAAATACGCTTCACTTTCTCAATCAGCGTTCAGTGAGTTACCAAGAGCTAGAATAAAAGGAGTTCTATAGAGTAGAGGTCAATGAATCGAATGATGGTGACCAATTGAATATTGGCTGTCGGAATCAACCGGAAATCAGTTAAAAACAAAAAAAAAACTTTAGCTTTGTGATGGTTGGAAGTTGACAAGAAATCAAGTGTCGAAGTAAGAGGGGTTTTATAGATAGGAGACCGGAGGTTCAAATGGTGATGACTGAGAGAATTTTTTAGATCGGAATCAGTTAGAATCGGTTTTGAGTAGTAACAAAATATTATTTTTGGGTAAAAAAATGGTATTTTAAAACTTTTTTGGTAGAAAAGTCATTAAGGCAAACCTGGGGTGGAAAAAAACGGTTTACTCATAAATTTATTGTTATTGTCGTTACTCTAGTCTATATATGATAAGAATATAGTGCTTATTTCCTTATAATTATTTAATTATATTATATTAATTTTACTAATATTAAACCCTAATGAGATAATCAACATGCAATTATCATCATCGTCATCATTCTTATATTCATCCTAGTTCTATATCACACTGCTCCTCTCATCAATTCTTAACCAAAAAACCTTATTTGTTTCAGACTCTAATGGACACCATGGAGACCTCAAAACTCCCATCTCACTCTCAAAACCCTAATGAAAGTGGAGAGAAAAGAAGCTTTACTACTACAAACAGAAGAAACATTAATAAGGGAAGAAGATTTCTGGGGGTGAGACAAAGGCCTTCGGGGAGATGGGTTGCGGAAATCAAGGACTCTTCACAGAAGTTGCGGCTATGGCTGGGGACTTTCGATAGAGCAGAAGAAGCTGCTTTGGCTTATGACAGTGCCGCCAGGCTTTTGAGAGGAAGAAATGCAAAGACCAACTTTTCATATCGTCATGGATTTGTGAATAATCATGAAGAAAATTGCTGAGTTGTGGTTAAAAATCCACGGCTTTATCAACTTCTTCAGCATACAGTCACGAAGAACCATCCAAATTCTTCATCATCATCTTCTCCATGGATTGATCATAAAATGTGTAACAAAGTTGACTCCCCCAATATAAACTTTGATACGCTTGTTGAAGAAACCATAGTTTGTTCTTCAACTCCATCAGATTATCATCAGCTTTCTGGGTTTTCTTTTGGGAGCTCTAAAGTTTATTCTTCTGTAATTGTTGCTCCTTCGTTTAGTTCTAATTCTGTGTCTCAATCAAGAGAGGAATAAAACTATATTAATTCTTCCTCTAGCTATGATCTTCAAGCAAATCCAAAAATATTAGAATTAGATGAATTAAATTTGGATTTGTACTTCACTTGTAAATTATTATGGTTTAGTTCTAGCTAGTTTATGTTTTTATCAGTTATTATATTTTGAATTGTTAAAATTGTTAATGCAAGTTTAAATTTGTCTTGTAATCGATCCCTGCAATTAGACGTTAATTATAGATCTAATTAAAAATATTAGTTCGATAATTATATCCAGGCAGAAACATACAGACAAAATTACAATTACTGCTGGATGACTGAACCTGGACATATGAATGTCAATGAATTAATTATTTTCCCCTCTAAAAAATATAATAAAGGTCCATAGCATAGATCTGTCGGTAAATTTCGTTGTGAATAGAGGTTAGATGGTTAAAATTTCATCATTATAAATAAGGGTAAGATGCTCAATTAACATTATGCATCAAAAATCAAAATTTAAAATTCGAAGAGTGGGTAAGTGTAAGGATTATTCGTAAGGAGCAGTGGGTAACTTTGGGAAAACATATGGGAAATGTAAGAGGTTGCCGGCAGTAGAGGGAGGTGGCCAAGGGTGTTTCACAGTCCAAACAACAAACCCAAATCAACCAAAACTCCAAACAATCAAACTCCAACAAATAACCAGGGCAGTCGCGCAAGGGAGTCACGCATGGGCGGTGGGTGTTGTGTGTCCTAAGAGCAGATGGTGGCACGGCAATATGGGGGCAGTCACGCTTGCAGTCATGCCGCGCAAGGTGTCGCACACGGTCAAGGTTGTGGAGAAACAGGCAATAACGAGGCTGAATCGAGGTGTGGAGGCGGCACGTGGGCAAGTGAGTAAGAGGTGCGATCAATCGCGCGAACTATTGTTGCGACGGGGAGGAAAATAGGGGTGGCTATGGTGCGAACAGTTGGAAACGGCAAGGAGGATGGCTGGAAAGGTGAACCGGGACTGGGGAGTTGCAATTAGACGACCGAGATGGCGGTGCGAATCGATTGGAATCGCAGCCGGAATCAGATGTGGCAAAGGAGAAAGAAGAGAAAAGGGTATTTTCGTCTTTATATTTTTTATATCTTGTCAAAAACGAATTTTAACATAACATTGGGTGGTAATGTGTTGTTTTAAAACTTCTTGGGTGGAACAACGTTGCTTGACCAAACTTTGGGTGGGAAAAAGTCGTTTACTCTGAAATATATTTACCTTTAACTTCTTTCTTACCACTAACGAATTCACAAATATGAACAAGTTTATCCTAACCCTTTAAATTATGTTTTTATCTTTAATTTTTTTTTTTTAATAATGTTTAAAGTTAATAATTTTAAATTTGACTATAGTCAAAAGATGTTTAGCTTTATAATCCACTCTAAATTCTTTTTAGGGAGAACGACATTTTTCCATCCAAGGTTTGGCATAATGACATGTTCTCACCCATCAAGTTTCAAAATGACACGTTTTCACCCTTTGTTAGGTTTTATTATATTTTCTGTTAATATTTTATTAAAAATACCCTTCAATATTTTATTTTATAAATTTTTTAATTAGCCAAAAAATTAAATATTAAAAAGTCAAAAAAGAAAAAATAGTTAATCCCACCTAAAAAGTTAAAGAATAATACTATGAAATTGTTTAAAGTTAAATAACTTTAATATTTATTTATTTATAATATCATCAATATCTCATCATTATTATTTAATAATCTATTAAATTTATAATATTTTTTATTTTTACTAATTAATATAAAAAATTATTATTTTTAATTAATTAAATAAACAAAAAAAATATTTATACTTAAATTAATAAATAATTAAATTAAGATTTTAATTTAATTAAATTTTAATTTATAATAAATTATTTAAGAATATTTTCAACTTTTCAATCAAATATTAATAAAAAATATTAATAAAATTTAATAAATTATTTAAAAATATTTTCATCTTTTCAATTAAATATTAATAGGAAATATTAACAGAATTTAACAAGGATGAAAAATTATCATTTTGAAACTTTACATGTGAAAGTGTCTTTCGTCAAACTGTGGGTGGGAAATGTCGGTCTCCCTTCCTTTTATCATTAAATTATCCATTCAAGTTGAACGAACGAGAACACACGTGGCCTACTTAATTGTTTTCCATCATAATCAGCACAATATTATATTATATTATATTAATGAAGCTATTTTATAGCGTTATCCATTTTTCTTGAGTCATTTTCATTGGAATAAATAGTAACAAAAGCATAATCACTCCACCACCATATATTTAATTAATTAATTATTTATATCATCCTCATTAAATTTTTAATTAATTAATTATTTGCTGCATTATTGATTCCATAATCAACTCAACTGAAAATGCCTCATCCAATACTCTAAACTAAATTAATTAGAGTATAGCCACTGATTTCAAGATAAGTACAACAACCAATCTAATTAACTAAAACTAAACTTCAAAGAGATAAAGTAAAATGAAGACTTTTATATATTATTTTATTTTATTTCATGCTACATCAATTATCATAAAAAAAAGTATTATATACCCAAATGATTATAAAAAATGCCTCTTAAAAATATCAAAAACCCTGAAATAAAACCTTTTTTTTTTATTAATATGACATGTTTTCATGTTAAACTTTATTTATTGCTTAAGCTAAAAAATTACAGAACAAATAGACCCTTTTCCCATACGAGGGCATAATCACCCCACCACAAAAAACAAGAAGGCCGACAAAAGAAAAATTAACTCCAAGGGACTGACATGTCGGTCAAAGAGGTTTGCTCCCTTTCTTGAGTTTTCGGGTTTAAACCTTGAAGTCACCTATTGTGACTTTCTTAATCCTTTGGACTTGTAGAGTGTTCAATGAACTCTCGGTTACCCAAAAAAAAGAGAAAGAAAAATGAATTAATGTAAAAAAATTGCAAACCAAAGTGGAGAATATCCTTTAGCTTAGCTCAGCCTAGGATTCTTTCCTTGTCTATTGGAGCAAACACTTGAAATGTTACTATTCAAGACTTTGGATACATTTCCACTTTGATTTGGTTTCATTCTAAAAATTTGGTACAAGGAATTTGATACCAGATTCCCACTACTGGACTAGTACAAATCCAAATCAACCAGTTTGCAGATTCTCAAAACCAAAACAACTTACTCTCTAACTCTTTTCACTTTGATTAAGCAATGACATGGGTATGTCTCCCACTTGGAAACTATTTTTCGATCTTCACCTTTTTTCTTTTTTCCTATTTCCATACAAAATTACAACTAGATCCTTCTTCAAAGAAGATGATGATTTTGTTAATGGCAGAGAACTTATTCCTCCATCATCATCCATGCCTATTGTGTAAAAATGTTCACAACACAGAAAACTGTTTTTCAAAGCAAAATGGGAAAATTCCCAACTCCATTCTGTTTCTGTTTTCAACCACTCCAAAAACCAGAGTTAATGTCATTACATTCATACTCATATTGATGCAATCAACTATTTGAGGGAGGTTTCTGAATAATTTGCATGTAATTTCGAATGGTTTTGACATCATTAAACTGCTATGAAATGGTTAAAAAGCACTTTTGGGTTTAGTTTGTAAGTGCTTAAATTAAAAAGAGACAAAATGTGGTTGGGTATAAAAAGCAATTGAGTGCTTTTTTCTGGTGAAGCATTAAATACCCTACTGTTTTAAGAGAAAATGCTTTTACAGCATGAAGGAACTTTTTTGGGAAAGCGATTAATAGGTAGAAAGCACTTTCATCTGCTTCATTTTTACTCAAAAACACTTCTACAAAAGCTAAATCCCTAGTTAAAGTGAATGAGAATCATATAATTTCCAGTCAAATTGGAGGGCGGCATTGAATTCAACTTTACCAAATGCTGAATCAGATGATAAACTCCAGCCAAAAACTCTTCCCAAGTAAATACTTCAAACAAGATGAATCAATTATTAAAAGGGTCAGTAAAAAAATGGAGAAAAACAGTGAAATAGGGTTTCAAAAACCATTGCACAAATTTCAGGCAAACAAAAGAAGAGTCAAAAAATTCTGAGGCAGGGCTGCGAAAGTATAAACTTTAGCTGCAACATACAGAAAATTAATTCAAAACTTGAACCAGTTTTCTTTTTTTCTATTAACATACGACAATTGAAAAGTTTCACCATCATCTCTCCTTCTTCCTTAGCAATAATATATTAATATGCAAAACTGTGTCATCTCCTAATTTACATGGAGAGAACAAAATCCATAAGCACAACATTGACCAATAAAATTTGCAGTAACATTAGCATTCATATACATGTCATCAAAATCATCAAGAAAAAATATATACGAAGTCACACACAGACCCCATTCATCTCATATAAGCTCTAGATTTCGCCAAATCCTCAATAAAACAATATCACACCACAAATCTTGTCCGAGCTAAAGGAATCATTATGTAAAATATTTGATAAGCCAGAAAAGGTTTGGTGCACGCTCAGGTTATCAAATTAAGAACTATTTCCAAATGCCAAACCTCACAACAGGAAAGAGGTAGTAGCCACAAAGTCTCAAATAAATAAGAAAAAAGTCATATAAATAAGACTAAGAGGATAGATTAAATTAATATAGTGGATCTACAATGCACATTTAATGGAAAATGACGATAAGATAAAGATCAGTGAACAGCTATGAATAGTAAAAGTTAGCTGCTGGTCCCCTAATGGTAAATAATAAGAGGTGCATTAGCCTCTCTGCAAGGTCTGCCACCAACCACCATTAACTCAATAATTAACTTAATAAAAAAGAATAACAAAAATCAAACAAATCCTCATTCTTATTTACTTAGCCCTTGTTAATCAAACCCAAAAACTCAAATAATATCTGAGTTTTTCTTTTTCTTGATATATTCTTCAGACCCGCCTAGTAAACTCGATTTCAGAGCTAAATTTCATGACAAATCCTTCAATCTATCATCTTGGGAAGAAGAAATAAACCCTCAATTGAAACCTCAAACACAACCATATATATGCATAATATGTGTATTCTTGTACATAGTTTCTCAGCAAATAAATAATCAAAATAAAGAACTCCATGAAGCAAAACTAAAACTTGAAAAGAGTAAGGGGAAAAACAACAGAAGAAGAAG